GCCCCGAGTCGCAGGGCACCCCGCACCCTGGCCCCGGCCGCCACGCCTCTCCCCACCCCAGGCCCTGTCAGTCGGCATCTTCCCCTACGTGCTCAAGCTGCTGCAGAGCTCGGCCAGGGAGCTGCGGCCCCTGCTCGTCTTCATCTGGGCCAAGATCCTCGCCGTGGACAGCGTGAGTGGCCTGCCCCCGGGGGGCACGGGGTGACGGGCCCCCAGAGCCGAGCGCGCCGCAGCGCACGCCGGGGTCAGGCCTCTCCGCCTCCCGCGCCCTCCCAGGGGCCCAGACGCTGCTGCAGGGCGCCGGCCTCCCGCGGCCAGGCCAGCCTGCCCCCCCTGAGCTTCCTGGGGCCCCGCCCTGCCTCGCAGAGGCTCCCCCCGCCCGTCCCCAGAGCCCCCGCCGGGCGCCGGCCTCCCGCGGCCACGAGTAAAGCGGAACCAGGCGTGAGCGTGTGTGTGGTTTGCTCTCCGCCCCAGCCCGCTCCCCGACGGGGCCCCCGGCGCGTCCCCCGATAGGGCATGCGCCCCCACCTGTTCCGGACACCCCCGGCCAGCATGCTGTCCCACTTTGCTGGTGGCCACTTGGTAAGCCGTGTGGGGACCAGCTGTAAAACTCCCTGCCGTTTCAAGCCTGCTGGCACCTGTCCAGACCCCCCTCCAGGCCCCGTGTCTGGACCCCCCTATCCCGGCTCCATGTCTGGGCCCCCCCCATCTCAGACCCATACCTGGGCCCCCTGTCCTGGACCCATATCCGGACCTCCGTGTCCAGACCCCCCTTGTCCCAGACCCATATCTGGGCCCCCCTTCTGGTCCCAGACCCATGTCTGGGCCCCCCATCTCAGACCCACATCCAGTCCCCCATGTCCAGACTCCCCGTCCAGCCCCATGTCTGGGCCCCCCGTCCCAGACCCATGTCCAGTCACTCTCTGGACTGCCTGTCCTGACCCATGTCCAGTCCTGTCCAGCCCCTTGTCCTGGCCCTGCGTCCAGTCCCTGACCGGAGCCCCTTGCCCTGGCCTCCCCACAGCACCACCTTTTAGCCTCAGCTGGGTCAGTGGCCCTGCCCTTGCCCCCCTCGGCTTGCACCCAGGACGCCCTGGTTCTCGCTGGCTTGGTCATGCGCTGCCCCCCCCCCGTCCTTTCACTGCCCCCTTGGGGACGCCAGCCCACACCAGGAGCTGCGGGTGCTGGGGCCTGGCCTCCCCCGCGCAGCTGCCACGGCGGCCCTGGGGGCCGGGGCCGGGCCCTCTGCAGAAGCCGCCTCCGGCCCCCAGGCCCCGGCCCGCGTCGCTTGACCCCCGTTGTTTCCAGGGCAACCGCCTCGCCGGTTACTGTCAGGGCTGGGGGCCGTCGCATCCCGGGGCCGTGTCCACGTCCACGTGGTGCCCCGAGCCCCGGCGGAGGTGGGAGGACTGCCCACCGGGCTGCCCCCTCCCGCCTGCCCTCTGTGCCCACTCCAGCTCCAGGCACGGGGTCGGGAGGTTGTGGGCCGCCCCTGCGGGCACCTGGCAGGGCCTCCCTCAGGTCTCCCCACTGGCTGCTCCCTGCCCGGGCTGAGCGCAGCCCAGTGTCCCCTCAGGACACTGCTGACCGCCTTGCCTGGGAGAACTTCCTGCCGACGAGGCCTCGGCCCTGTGCCCTGACCCCACCCGCGGCCGGGCCC